GGTGACTGGAATCCCTTTAAGGGTAAAATAATCTTCATCTTTGAATATTATTTGATTATAACAGAATTTACTGAAGAGATGACTCGTGAACAGATGGAAAACTTTGGTCGCAAAGACGGCCGTGGACAAATGAAGAAGGCAGAACCAACGATAGTCAAATTAATGTTGACTCTTGAAGAACTGTACAATGGATGCATTAAAAAGATGACAGTAAAATACACGGTTAGTTTGACCCAGGGGCTGGATTTGCTTACGTGGTTCAGGATGATCTTCCCCCCATTTACAGCAATTATATGCAATTTTAAAATAAGTTAAAGTTATTCTTAGGCATTTGACAAGGACTGCCAAACAACTGAGATTAAAGAAAAGACTTTAACCATGGTTATCCGTGCTGGATTTCGTGAAGGAGCTTCTCTCATTTTCAAGGAAGAAGGCAATCAGGGTCCCAACGTCATTCCTGGTAAAGTCGAGTAAAGTCCTTGGTGCTTATTTTAGCCCTACGAGCGAAGCAACATATTGTACTTGATTCTTCATTGTTAAGGTGACGTGATTTTTGTCGTGACTGCACTGGAGCATCCATTCTTCCGTCGGGAGGGAATTAATCTTCACCACACGGAGAAAATTCATGTAGGCCAAGCACTTCTTGGCTGTGTGGTCGAGATTCCAACTCTGGATAAACGAGTTCTTCACGTTGCGATCACAAATATAATCAAGTAATTATTTTTATATCTCCCACGCTGCCTTAGTCTGCCCTATGGCATTGTATTTTATAGTACTCCGTAGAAATGAGTAGGTATCCGCTTTAACGATAATATACAACTACCTTTTAGACCTGACTACGTGAAGGTAGTCCGAGGTGAAGGAATGCCGGATTCGTGCAATCCGAAGGAGAAAGGCGACCTCTACATTGACTTTGACATCATCTACCCGGATAAACTGACAAGGAAGGAGCGAATCGACCTGGAGGCTGCTCTCTTCCGCGAAGGAGAGCCCCTGCAAATCCTAACTTGAAGGTCTATTTCTCCAGATATCTAAATCTATTTGTTATTGTAGTTTTTCAGCCTAATTCTTAGGGCATTTACTTCTTCTCTGCCGTTTATTTGTAGAGACCTTGTTTCAATTTGTATGGAAATTCGAGGATGTAGAAAGAGTTAATGTTGTAGATGCACCACCCCAAGTACGACACTGACAGTATGTCCAACAGACAGTTAAAAACAGGCATTAGTGCATACAATTTTACCAAATGGTTCATATTAATGTACCTCCCAACCACTTGAATGCTAATGGTGGCTTAAATACAGTTAGTAGTATTGT